AATAATAATAATAATAATAATATTAAGATATATATATATGTTAGCCGGGTTTCCTCACTACGGATTCCAATCCTCATCCGTCCAACTCCACCCGTCGCTGCTTTCATTAGATTGCCGGCGTTTCTTTTCTCCAGCACGTCGGCGAATTGCTTGCATGGCGTTTAAACTGACCTCTGAATTCTCTGAACCCCTGGCCATCGACGCAGCGTCTTTTGTCACATCAACCCTCTTCAATTCTACAATTGTATCCCGCTCACTCTTTCCACCGTTGCCCTCAACTATACCTACTGGTTGTGCCACCCGCGTCCAGCCATGCCGCCGCAAAAAGGAACTGCGTCCCAGACTATTCCGGAAGAACCTTAAGCCACAGTATAATGCGAGGAGTAAAGTTAAAAAACCAGAAAAAAGGAACAAATTTCCATAAGAAATATAATCATCCTCAGGAGGAAATTTCGTATCACTTGATGTATTTGGCTGTTTTGTTACATCTGACATGTGGGAACCACCTCCGGATTTTCCACTGATAACTCCTTCGTTTTGATCGGTGGTGCCCTGGGTTTCAGGTACCGAGTCAACAGAAGTAGTAGTTCCATTCTCTTTCGCAGCGCTGACCCCATTCAATTCATGGGAAGCAGATGAAGATGTTCCATTTTCTCCCACAGCACTGACCCCATTCAATTCATGGGAAGCAGAAGAAGATGTTCCATTTTCTCCCACAGCACTGACCCCATTCAATTCATGGGAAGCAGAAGAAGATGTTCCATTTTCTCCCACAGCACTGACCCCATTCAATTCATGGGAAGCAGAAGAAGATGTTCCATTTTCTCCCACAGCACTGACCCCATTCAATTCATGGGAAGCAGAAGAAGATGTTCCATTTTCTCCCGCAGCGCTGACCCCATTCAATTCATGGGAATCAGAAGAGACTTCCTTTCGTGCACCTACAGTGGGCACGTTTGCCGAGTCATCTATCTGATCTGGTGAACCTTCCAATTCTGTCGCCAGAGCAGCAGCAGATAGCAAAAACAAAACCAACATCAAAAGAATAATAAAGCGCATCTTAGGTGCTTCAAACAGTTCCCAAGAAAGAAAAGAAGAATCTACGTAACTTGCCTTGAGAAATTCAACAAAATTAACAAACAAAGAAAGAAAGAAAGAGAGAGAGAGAGAGAGAGAGAAAGAGAGAGAGAGAAAAAAAGAGATAGCAGTTTTGTACAACAGGCATTCTTCTTTCCCTCAAGACAGTAAAACCAAAAGCGGTGCCGAAAGTCCAATAGAATTCAAGACGTCACCCAGTAGCCCAATAACTTCCCATGTGCTCACTAGAGCACATAATATTCAACACCATCGACTAAAAAACGTGGACATTCCCCACTCCCTCTTTTAGTACCTTCAGTAGCGTCCGACAGTACAAGCGCATCACCTCCCTCTATCCCAGCTTCCTCCGCTTTTCGCGTGCCTCAGCACACAGTGCGCAGATCGGATCCGTGTGGTACATGTTATCCAAAAAATTCTCACCCCATTCCTCCGCACGTTTGACGTGACGCCACGCAAAAAGCTGCTTGACCGCCGCATCGTCCGTCTCTAGGTGCCGCAGGAACTCCCCAAGTTTCTGGAACGCGCCCGCACCGTCATCCTGAACCTTCTCTGCCGAACCTGCATCACCCAACTGACCAGGAATGAAGCGCTCCACCTCCACCACACTACGCCGACCTGACGGGAGGAAGTCCTCAATGTTCGGGGCACCCCAGTACAACGGAATGGCTCCACTCAATAGAGCGTGGTACACCTTTTCCGTCACATAATCCCTCTCCCTCGAGTTTTCGAGTGCCATGGCATACTTATACTTGCGGAACACACACAATTTCTGGGGATAGCGCCCAGCAATGGCTGCACAATCGGGCGGCATTCGTTGGTTACTGGCACATGCCCCAAAGCTATGAACAGGATAATATCTAGATAAATGGCGAATAACCTCGGCACGACATCACACCAAGTCTACAGCAATGTATGCGTCCCAATATGTCCTTGCCTGGCATGAGCGGTTCGTGACAGCGATATACGCTTCACTATAGCTACTGCAGAATTCTGATTTTTGCACCTACTCCATTCACTTCATAGCGTCCAGATGTCATTACGAGGTGACAGCAAGGTTCACACTACCCTTCTCGTTGTGCTGGGCGGTCAAGGGGACAAAAGGCACACCTTCCACCTCTTCAAAACGCCAAAGCCACCGCCGCCGACGACATCGACGATGAATCCCAACGGTACAAAACGAGAGAGCTAAGAGTACTGAAGCATGAGAATGAGCGACAATGCTAACCCTAAGCACGCCGACCCAACCTCAGGGGCAGGCTGTCGTGTCTTATTGCGACCCCCCACACTTTGCGCACTCTCCGTTATCATTTTTTTTTTTTCGCCTAGAATTAGAGACATAAGAGAAGATAATACATTCTCAGAGAACCGTTCACGGACACACCATCGAGAGAGTGATTGAATCCAGGTAGGCCATACAATGCCGTCTGTTTTTGTGGTTATCAAAAGCAATTAAGTGAAGGTATAGGGTGCCAATGACACATAAAAACGTCTGAAATCAACAGAACATCACATTGCAGGGACGCCTCAAGAGTTTTTCGTCCGCAAGCATGCTCTGTTTGTGAAAACAAAAAAAAGGAAGATTTATATATTGTCTGTATTTTTCAAAATCTCAGTCAATAAGGAAAAAAAAAAAAACCACCTTTGCTGAGTCCAGGGAGACACACAAGAGCATCGCCGTTATATTTGTTCATGGACACAGGGGAAGTCGTGTAGAGAATTTCGTCTACATGGGAGAAAAACATTCAGTTACATTACGCCCAATTTTAAAAGACGAGTGATATTTATATAGGAGAAAAACATTAAATTGAATTACGCTGAAATAGAGGAAAAAAAAAGAGAGATGTAACATGAATAGAGATGTATCTACTTCACTCAGTACAGGGTACGTGACCCATAACAACATACTTCTTCCTTAACGCTCTCTCAAGAAATTAACAAAATTACCATAGCAGCAACAAGGGATATGAAAGGGAGAAAAAGTGTATCTGTCACAGTCTTATCCCCTGAGGTGGCTTTAGCCAAACTACCTCCGTCGGGGGCAACAGTGCATACTTCATTATACTTGGGGCAAATTATGCTCCCACTGACAAATTTCGAACCCTTTGGAGTGATGGTTTCGCCTTCATGGCATTTTTGCCATGAATCGCTGCCCTTGTACTTAACGCTTACATCGTTACCGTCGCATTTTACCACCACACACAAACCACCCATTTCTACATCGGCGTCATTGTATTTTACAATCAGCGAATCAGTATCCAGGCACCACGAGTCACGGCCGAGTAGCGACGCTGAAGTATCACCTGTGTTCTCTTTCGAGCAAATAAGATTTGAGGAAACAATAGGGCAATGGTCCATTGCATCAGATGATGGACCACCAACTGTATTGGACGTGAAATACTGGAATTGTTCAGGAAGAGATACGAGATTCGAGACAATGTTACAAACTCCCAGAGCTCTACGGTCTGATGTGCAACGAAGGGGATTAGTTGTATTACAGAACATATGGGGATATTTGGTGATGTTATCTACCATACACTTCTGTTGAAGGAATTCACACCCAGCGTTTCTTCCCCAACGCATCGTTTCTTCCATTCCCCAATTAGCCTTAAATACCCCCATATCTTCAAATGTTGCCATTGTTAGTGCAGTATATAGCATGATACCGTTATCATCTCGAAAACCCATGAGTTCATCCTTTGCGTTGCGACGTCCCCAGTGTGATATCTCAGAGACACCCTCTTCCAGTTCCACACCATCAATGTTTGCACAGTTATAGTGTTCCTCTGCTTTCTTCTTTGTCATAGAGGTATTAATAAGAAGAACATTGGTTTCCTTCCCGCGTATTCCTTGGACTTCCTTTGTCATTCCAAGAGTTATAAACTGATTATAGTTGAACCCAAGAGCATGACCCAACTCATGCGCAACAAGACGTGAAATAACTTGAATTTCTTCGATATAACTTGGGCTGACGTTCATAGTTGCGACAATAGTTCGTTTTTCTTTCTCAGCACACGGGACAGCCCACACATTCGACGGGGTTGCGGCCAAATAAAGCACCATATCAGCACCTGATACACCCGCTGTTCGGTGGGTATTAGGAACACTGAAACGAGAGCATATTTCAGAAGTGAATGTAGGCACCACCACCGGTTTGCTCTCACGATGGACGAGGAGTCGATCGCTGTGTAGTTTGATTGCCACGGGAAGAATCTCTGATAGAAGTCTTTTTTTCTTCGCATCAGTCAAAACTTCAAGAGGATTGCAGCTAGTATTAATACCCAACCAATAATCTGGTCTGACACGAAAACTTTCATCGCAGTACTTAGATGGATCATTCAAGTCTTCGGACGACACAACAATGCGTATTGGCGCCCATTCATTAGATGAGGACGCAGTGTACGCTTGCAATGAACCCTGCCCTTTCTTTGGTAACTCTCTTACTACAGAGACAGGGGGTCCGCTCATCTTCATAACCTCATTGAAGACACATCCGTTTGGGACAGCTGCAGTGCACTTCAAAACACAAAAAACGAACAGAAACAGCAGAAGTGTGTGAAACTTCATATTCATCATCCTGTTTGTGGAACACAACCTTAGATAATCTTGCTGAGCACGTAATTCTAGACGTATAAAAAAAAAGGGGAAAATGGGAAAATAGGAGAGAGGGAGAAGAAAAAAAAAAAAGAAAGAAGCAAGAAAACAAAAACAAAAAAAAAAAAAAAACAAATGACACTGAAAGCATCTCACCGCGTTTACGCCGCTAGGGAAGAGAATGCATGATGTTACTCTGTTGGAGGGTCTAGTCACCACCACGAGATCTCTTTCAGCCGTTGCTCACGCTGCATTGCGGCACCCGTAAAGTATGGGGCATAGAGCCACCCTGCAGAGTGTGCCTCACCACTACCACTACTCGATTTGAGGGGCTCTAAGAGACTCAGCCCACTCAGAGAACCACTCTGCTGATCATGACGCTCACTATCCATAGTAACTAAAAGGGCAGACCTGAAGGTATCTGCGGTACTGATCATACTTGTTGAGTGAAGATCCGCAGACCGCACCTGGCTATTCCAGAACAGAAGGTATGAGGGGATCTCTTTGATGGACACCTGTGGGTGCCTCCCGTCAACAACGTCGTGTCTAGCAGCACGAATACATGCGCTACCCATTCCAGCGCTGAACGTTTTCTTACTGCAAAAAAAAAAAAAAGAACAACCCAAAACAAAGTACCCAAAAAGAAGAAAAAAAAAAACAACCACGAACACACTACGTGATCCATATCTATGGATGACACAGATCACCTTGGTAAGTGTTGTCAACCCATACAAACAGTCCCCAGGGTGAACAGAAAAATACTTATTCTTGCAAATACTACCAACAGAAAAGAGTACACATACTCATCCACAAATAAAAATGTTTGAAATATCAGAGTCAAGTACAATCATACAGAAAAAGTCAATTGTGAACGAAAAACAAAATAAACCTCACCCAAAAAGGGAACAAAAAAAAAAGAGATAGCAGTTTTGTACAACAGGCATTCTTCTTTCCCTCGAGACAGTAAAACCAAAAGCGGTGCCGAAAGTCCAATAGAATTCAAGACGTCACCCAGTAGCCCAATAACTTCCCATGTGCTCACTAGAGCACATAATATTCAACACCATCGACTAAAAAACGTGGACATTCCCCACTCCCTCTTTTAGTACCTTCAGTAGCGTCCGACATTACAAGCGCATCACCTCCCTCTATCCCAGCTTCCTCCGCTTTTCGCGTGCCTCAGCACACAGTGCGCAGATCGGATCCGTGTGGTACATGTTATCCAAAAAATTCTCACCCCATTCCTCCGCACGTTTGACGTGACGCCACGCAAAAAGCTGCTTGACCGCCGCATCGTCCGTCTCTAGGTGCCGCAGGAACTCCCCAAGTTTCTGGAACGCGCCCGCACCGTCATCCTGAACCTTCTCTGCCGAACCTGCATCACCCAACTGACCAGGAATGAAGCGCTCCACCTCCACCACACTACGCCGACCTGACGGGAGGAAGTCCTCAATGTTCGGGGCACCCCAGTACAACGGAATGGCTCCACTCAATAGAGCGTGGTACACCTTTTCCGTCACATAATCCCTCTCCCTCGAGTTTTCGAGTGCCATGGCATACTTATACTTGCGGAACACACACAATTTCTGGGGATAGCGCCCAGCAATGGCTGCACAATCGGGCGGCATTCGTTGGTTACTGGCACATGCCCCAAAGCTATGAACAGGATAATATCTAGATAAATGGCGAATAACCTCGGCACGGTGCGCTTTGCAGCGAGAAACAAATACCGCAACTGCCGATTTTCGTTGTCGCCACGCTTCTAATGTGATAGTTTCATCAGTAACTCCTTCTTTGTTATTTTCATGAAGAATATCTAAGAAGTAAGGTTGTTGGCGGTGAGTCCACGTGAAGTAGTATCGTCGATGTTGATGGAAAGAGACTACCTCATCATAGAGACTTTGGTAGGCATCATTACCACGTTTCTTGTCGGTATTGTTGCTTTCACCACTATAAAAGAGAGTAATATATGGTCGCCCATTGGGCTGGCGTGTTGGAACAGGTCCATTATGGTTAATTACTATATCTGCTTTCGCTAGTTCTCGTCTCGATCCACGTGAATGCACGTGGCAGTTAAACATTTCCCCACTTTGATCTCTCTCTGTGTTGCAAGATTGTATACACCCATGGTGTACCTTTGTTGCGTTTGTCATGTATTCGCAGAGGTATGTACCTGTTCGTGTTGGCACTACGGTAACATCTCTATTAGCGTCGTATACATCTATTATACTCTTCACTTGCGGAGTTGATTTCGGCGTTGCGGTGTGTTCATCAAATGCATAGTAGAGTGTTATCATCCAAGTAGAAATAAATACCGTTAAGAGAAGGTACACACAAGATCTTGTAGTGATTTTTCTCATTTCATTTGATCTTCAGGTACTTTATTTTAAAATATACAGAGGTGTAGAAAACTCAGGTATGTGTAGAGTAACCTTTATTTTTTTAAAAAAAAGATAAAAGCGAAACTTTTTGATAATGAAACATATTATTTAAACAAGTCATCACATTTAAGTATACTTATTCAATAAAAGAATTTCTTTAGTAAAATACAACTTTGATTTGTTATTAAATTCTTTTGCTTCACATAAAAACCCAGACCCCAAGACGGCCGATTTCTTGCTGACATAAACAGGGAGGATAGACTAGTAAAGAAGAAATTTTTATGTACATTTGGTCATGGATGTGAAAGAAAAAATATATAGTAGGAAGTTACGTCAATTAAAAAAAAAAAAGTTTTTTTTTTTTTTTTTTTTTTTTGGTTTTAAGCTGCTGCTTTCTCTCCCCAGCCCCCACCATAGTGTCTATCATCTTCCGTTCCAATATGGTACAAACCTTCTTGTGATCCACACTCAAATACCAGAAATTTATTGAAGTACACAATTAACTGGTAAAAGAGGTGTGTTGAGTGTAAACAAAGGACATCAATTCAGCTAAACATGAAAGAGAAAACACATTCCTCTCTCTCTCTCTCTCTCTATATATATATATATATATATATATATCCATTTGTCTATCAGAGTACATGCATCGTCACACTACTACTGCAAATGTAAAAGGTACAGACGCAAATATATACCAACTCCAGAGAAATAGTAACAGCCAATCCTGGAGAAAAAGTGGTAAACGAAATCGGTGATGTTTCCATCGTATCAACGCTGTGATAAAAAACGCCAGGATAAGCGTTCCTATAAAAAGAATAAAGGTCGTAAAATACACATGAATATTTTTATTCAATTTCCCACGGCAATCACTAAGTCCAAATGCACGATACCATTGAAAGAAGTGAAAAAAAGGGGCAATTGCACAAACAGCAATTGGTATAACTGGCCATCGCACTTGTGTTGATATATTTATTGCATCTGTACCTTTTAAAACAAACGATTCAGCTCTTCGATGAAAAAAGCATTTCTTTATAAACGCATAAAAACGATATGCAAACACTTCAAGAAACAATGTACCAAAAAGGAGTTCCAATAGGATAATCTCAATCACCATAACAATTACGACATAAGTTCTTTCCACTAGATCAATAAAGAGAGATGAGGCAAGAATAACCAATATACACAATGCTGCAAATGTAGAACTCACAGCTATTTTGATACCAACAGGTGTACACTTTGGCATAGCACACGCTGACAAATACCAAAAACATCTCTCTAACGCAAACACTATTAATGGTAGTGTCATACACCACGGGTCTGATCCCGTATGACGTTCACCTAAAATAATTGGAAGTAACAATGGAAAAGCGTCTAGGAGAATATACGGTGCGGCAACAAAAGGTCGAGTATTATATAATGCATAAACCACTAATGGTAAGCTTAACACAGCCAAACGTAAAAATCCCCACGTTGAAAGTGGTACATTTGGCATCTGAGGTAACTGTGTGTCCATTATAGAAAAGAAGATAAATCTTGTAATAATAATAATCCAAAATGGTATATTACGTTTAAGGGTAGTAAAACATGGTGGTAAATCCCAACGAAAAATAGATACGTAACCCGTATTTGGTTGTCGTATTTCATTTAACTCACCAGCACGGGTAGGAGAAAAAAAAGCGGGGTTTCCTACATCATGAAGGGAGAGGGAACGAATATCAGCATTATTATCATTATCAGCTACAATATAACGAGCTGTTCGGGTACGAAGGCGGGTAACCTGAGTATCCTTCTCGACCGCATCTAATGTAAGGAAAAACAGTGTTGGAGTAAAGACAGAAAATGGAATGTATACAAACAACCCATAGGTAAAGACGATAAGTACTGATTCTCCTGGAGTGCATAAACAATCCACTTTACAACACTGTTGGGGACCATGTTCGATAAAGTGATTTACTAAAATAAAAACCTCTTGTAAAGCAAAAGGTAATATCATAGCAAAAGGAATAAATAATATAGCTAAGAAACGCATAAATCCATTTTTGTTTCTTGGTGTATTTCCATTTCCATTTCTATTTTCACCAATATTGCAATGCAGAGATGATATTGGTCCGAAAGCTTGATCTTGTAGGACTCCATCGTTACTCCAACCTGCAGCAGAATTTTCTGTTGGTATCAAGCGAAATCGCCGATAGGATGGTATTGCTATAGTTGCATCTGGACTAGTCTCTGGAGAATGATCCAAATTGGGAAAACAAGGTAAATCAAAAGCTCTACAACCTAAACTAGCAGTGGTTAACTCCGATAAAGTGGAAATGGATCCCTTACCTCGATAGCGTGATTCTAAGCCTTCTACGCCTGGAGACCCAGAAAAGGCTGATGACTCCCTAACTGGTTTACCTAAACCATCCTGAGAATTATTATTGGAAATAGTTTGTAAAGAAACGATTTTTGGTATATTTTGTGATGATACTATTATCTCTTCTGCTTCACATGGGATGGGGCCAATATCCGCAACATTAAAAAATTTGGAATTAGCTAGAGACACGAAACGTTCTGATAAAGAAAATGATCCTTTTGAATCGGAGTTCTTTTGCTGTTCTTCTTCTTGTTGTTGTTCACGATGGTAACTACCTCCATGACCAGCAAAACTGCTATTACTACTATCAGTAGAACCTCTGCTCACGTCGCTAAATACATAATATTCCTCGTTTTCGTTACCACTAGTTTTTTGCTTTTTTATCCTCCTATTTGGTATCCGTGAACGGGGACTAGATGAAATAGCACGAGAATTTACATGCACAGTTTCTTCCGCTTTAAGAACTACCTGACATGGTGAAGAAGAAGGGATTATATCATTTAAATCTTGACTACCCTTTCCACTCGTACGTATGATTTCACTACGTGTCTTCCCAGAACTACATAAAGCATTTTTTTTCTCTTCCAAGTTGCCACCATATTTTAACTTGGCTTCTAAATTCTCTTCCATGGCTCTCTCCACGACTCAGAAGAGCCTACACTATCGCATCATTATTAGAAGAGAGAACCCCCCCCCCAAAAAAAAAAAAAAAAAAATTAGAGGAAGAATACAGTAACATAGACCAAAAGAAAAAGAAAAAGAAAAAAAGAAAATAATAATAATAATAATAATAATAATAATAATAATAATCTAAAACAACAACTGAAATGAGAAAAGAAAAAAAAAGATAACAAGCATAATCTTTCCTTCTCAAAAGGGGTAAAAAAGGTTTTTTTTTTTTTTTTTTTTCTTTCATTACTCTGATTTTTCCATATATATATATATATATATATATATGGTGTTTCATTCTTTTTTTGCTCTGTGAAATCGATTCCGTTGAGTCCGCATACGTTGAATCTCTTTCTGCACCCGCATCGCCTCACTCATGCTCATCCAAGGCTGTTCACTGCCTCCACGGGATTCCAATGATCCACTGTGCACAGCATGCAGTTTCTTCTGCTGCCCAATCCAGGAAACACGGCGAAGATAAGAACGAACCTTTTCATCATCCTCATCGCCTGCAGCAGCTCCACGAGTCATAAGGGAATCGAGCAAAAGTTCCCATGATATACGTCCAGCAGGAGCAGTAGCAGCAGCAATACCACTGCTGCTAATGCTATTATTATTGTTATTAATTTTCTTGTTTTCACTCCCCCGCACACTTTCCCCTACTCTTTCTAACGGCTCTCGAATAGCATGCAGTAATTTTAACTCCTCCTTCCCACGTGGTACACTACCCAATACCGCTTCTTCGTCTTCTTCTTCTTCTTCGTTCTCTGCTTCACTATTATCCTTCTCCTTCTCCTCCTCCTTCCTTTTCTTTTTCTCATTGCTGTGCACAGCTGTCGTTGTGTCTGTTTCTGTTTCTTTCTCTTTCTCCTCACGTCTTGCTGTCTCCAGTGCAGTTAGAAACGTCATGTGTGTTGGCAGAGCAACAGGTGTGTCTCTGCAGGCCAACACGCGGTACACATCTGTTCCGTATGAAAGTACATTACACTCCGCCTGTGGATCCGCCGGGTCCTGCCGTGCGAGTGCATGTGCTTTGGCTACGAGTGGTAGTTTGCCCAGCAGTAACTCAGATCCACGAAGAAGAGGTGCTGCATCCATTGAGTGAAATATTTGTAAATACAATTTTTGTTTTTCTTTTTGTTTTATTTGTATCTATTTTAACTTCACTCAGTCGTTTCTGTATCACACTTATATATACATGTATGCATTCAAAGAAAACACATTCAAACAGGAAAGAGAGAAGAGAGAAGAGAAGGAAAAACAGGTGATAAGAAGAAAAAGAAAAGAAAACAAAAATGTCATAAAAAAAGATAAAAAAGAGCCCATATTAAACAATAAAACAAGAACATCATATAATGTAGAGCGATCCTGAAGTCTCTATTTCCCAGCAAATATCACAGCACCTTCTGCGCAATCTTTTTTTTTTTCTTTTTCGTTTTGTGTTCTTTTCTTGCAGAGCTACAGCTGTATATGAATGAATGAATGAATGTATGTATTAGTTTGTGTACATACATTTTTTCCCCCACCTCACATCTTCCCACTCAAGCAAAACATCCACAAAACTCCATTTCTATTTCTCTCTCTCTCTCTCTCTCCCCACCGTAGAAGAAAAAGAGAAAAAACAACAACAACAACAACAAAGAAAAAGAAAAACCACGCCGTTTGCACCTGACAAAACGTACACACACAGAAAGAAAGAGAGAGAAACTTCCCTTTCCCACATTCCCCAATTCTTTTATTCATCTGTCAGCGGTGGCACCCCAATTTCCCGCCAATCCGCAAGAAGATCATCCTCCGGTCCAAATCCAAGCCCACCGGCCGTCACTCCGCCGCCAACCGCAAATCCCCCAGCAGCCGCCGCTCGGCGTACACCCAACGTGTTTGGGGCATTCGCCGGTAATGTGAAGTTCGATGGATCGTCAAAGTCGACGAGGAGCTCCAACTTCGGGTGCTGCACCGTCAGCGTGGCGTCCTCCAAACACCAGCGCCGGTGTACATAACGGGAGTCACGCGAGACCATTTCTGTCGTCGTCAGAGTAATAAAAAGTACAGCAGAGATCATGGGGAAAGAAAGAAGGAAAGAAGGAAAGGAAAGAAAGAAAACTCTCAAACCCATAGATATACTCACACATACATACACACACACACAGATAGATATATATATATAGATAAAGAGGAAGAAAGCACACATACACACACAAAAAAAAAGAAATAAGAGTGCGTGGCAAGACAGCCATTGGATAAAGACACTCCTTTCGTTCAATTTCCCACCTTCATATACCTTGGGAAATAAAGGAAATAACGCCAAACCTGCTCCTACAATAACAATAACAATAACAACATCAATAAGAATAACGAAACCATACCCGATCTTTCTTTCTTTTTTTTCTTTTTAAATTAAAAATTTTGCGTCTTCTCCATTTTTTTTTTTTTTTTTGTTGTTTGCTTTATGATACATGACCACTTTGTGGTATAAATCTGTAGAAATCTTTTGTCTTTTTTTTTTTAGTTTAAATATATCTATGATAGATAACGGTGATTCCCATTGTTTAACAATTATTTATTTATTTATTTTCTTCTTCTTCTGCTTCGATGTCTCCTCAGACACGAACCCAACCAAGTACCATACCCCCCGCATCCTCAATAGTCATTCGGTGTGTAGTCATATCTTCTTTTAATAAAACCATGCGGGAGTAGTAAAGAGCTCTTGGTTCATTATTATCACTGCTAGTTACTAAATCCTCTTCTTCAACCCACGGTCGATTATCCCAGTTTTGCTCAGCAAGATAAACGTTGTAATATTTTACAAAGATATCATTACCGTTATTGATATTTGATACAGGAACAACATTCACAATAACAGCAACATGACCTTCAGGAAGTTTCTTGCTATGGTCATAGATAAGTAGATCACCTACTTGAGGTTTGGAAGCGAGCCATTGTTTTTTCATATCTTTACTAATATTAGAGATGCTTTTTCCTGTAAGTGAATTAGGGTATTTGCGGAGATTAAGATCTTTTCCGTTAACATCTTTGGCTGTTTCCACATAGGTCCATATATCCACTGGACTATTTACATATTCAAATGCCACACCTGGATGCTTTGCGATTAACCAAAAACGTCGTGCATACTCTACAGATTTCCATTTTACACCACTGTATACCCTTAATGATTTAATAAAGAGGTAATGTTCTTCCATATTTTGGTAATCTCTTCTGCAGTTACTAAATACCATTACGCCGCTATTTTCACCCAACAGTTGTCCAAAGGGAGTGACACAGTTCACTGGTACTGGTGGGGTATTATAATAGAAAACAAATACAAAAAGAAGTAAGAGGGTAATAACAGACAGCAATGCGGCTATCCATTCATAATGACAATGATCGTGTACTTTGCGAAAAACTGGATGAAGTGGAGAAGAGAGACGGTGCCAAAGTGGTTCCTCATAATAATCTTCACGTACAGTGGTGGAGTCTATTTCTACTGTCATGGGCCGTATTCCCAGCATCGGTGTACGTTCATTCGCTCCTTCTCTTCCAGTAGCGGAGTAACTAGAGGCACTACTCCTGCTGTTTTGAGGCCCTGTACTCGTCTCTGTGGTGATGGGAGGATTATTGTGCATGTGAGAAGTATATATATATATATATATATATATATTAGTTTATACAGTTAAAGAGAGTCCAAAAAAAAAAATAAAAAAACAAGTCCTTCGTTTGCACACAAAAAAAGAAAAAAAAAAAAATACAGACAAATCTCTTATTTTTGTATACTCTTTGCCTCACTAGATAAAAAAAAGAGAAAAACAAAAAAAAAAAAGAAAACAAAACAGATAGTAAACATCGAAAAAAAATTAATACCAAGATACATTTACCTTCAACCTTCCCAGTTGTAGTCTCAAAAAAAAAAAAAAATGGCAACGCCTAATACATGATAACAGATACCTAACAATCACAACTCCCCCTCCCCCATTTGGGTTGAAAAGAAGATTAGTAATAAAACACACACACAAAAAACAAGATTAGTGCAAAAAAGAAAAAAAATAATAATAATAAGGAGAAACAACAAGTATAACAATTCATACTACTTACTGTACCGCATCCAGCCTTGAATAATAATATCATCGGATTCCTTGAGTGTATATGCCTTGCTGTTCGCATCATACTGCATAGGAATGGAACGAGAGTAATTGTGAAATGGGCCTGGCCACACGGTGTTGTCCCAGTTCTGCTCAGCCACGAGAACAGCGGCACTCAACACATCCACAATAACTGCCACGTGTCCGTACACAAATCCTCCCTTCTGCCGCGGGTATATAAGCAAATCGCCCACACGTGGAGCCGATCCACCAGCACTGATTGAGAGTCCATTCGAGTACTTCAGCAACGGTGTTTTAGCGCCATTCACCAGCTGCACAGACTGCAGTTCCCAAATATCCGCAGCGCCTTCCACAGCACTGAAGGTTGCAGGCACAGGAGAGCCACGCAGCATCCAATACCGGCGTGCATATTCCACACATTGCCATTTCATTCCCGTGCTGTTTCCAATTGTGGTATTTCCTTTAAACGCAATAGAGATTTGGGGGTCTTCAAGCTCATGCCACTCATTTGATATACATGTGGTGCTATTGCAGTTACTATACGCAAATATACCGTTATGAATACCGAGTATAGTTCCAAAAGTTGTGGCACAGTCTACAGTACAGCTGTTATTAAGAGAATGTGAGGAATTGTAGTTTATCGTTTCGTGTGAATATTCTTCACGAGAGGATTTCGCCAGTAGTAGCATACATACCAGAGAGGCCACAGTACCCCATATGAAGAGGGAAATAATATAATAGGGTAGTGACTTGAATGGCTTCGCGAAGGAAGACATTATCGTCTTTTTGCTACTGTTAACAGGACGAGTAGCACCACTCTCTTTTCTTTTTCGCTGGGCGGCCATCAACTGTTTATATTTCTATTATTATTATTATTATTATTATTATTATTATTATTATTACTACTGTTCAATTTTATTAGGGAGTTTTCCAGTCAGCCTTTTAGGTAAACTAACAACGCCACCGGAGCGAGTTTCCTTCCTCTTTTATAATGGCAAATAAAGAAAAAAAAAAACACCCATATGTAAAGAAAGATGTACATCGATAATTTATATACAGTCAATGAAAGGGAAAACAGAAAAAAAAAATTATCTCATGAGGGCAAATAGTGCCTTCCTAGAACAGCTTTCTTTTATTCTTTACCTCGCTATATTTCAGCGACTTCAATTAAGGAACGAAAATTAGAAATATAAATATATATATAAAAAAAAAAAACCGCTTCTGCTTTTCTTTAGGTTTATGTAGTTTTTGTTTGCCTCCTTGATATTCATTCTTCACATCTGGTATTGTTAGCTAAAAAAAGAGAAATACTGCTTCTGGGTACCAAAAACCGAAACCGTCAATCTCAGATCAAAGAGAGTGAGAGAAAAAAAAAAAACACGTAAACACGCAAGGATAAAGAAAAACAGCAAAAACAACGCAAAGTCAAGACAAAATATAGGAAAAAAACAAGAAGCAATCTTTACATTTATTTATAAAAATTAACGCCCTCATTCACGATCCCTCTCTTCACTCTTCTTTACCTTATTCTATTGATCACTCTACATCGTTCTGTATTGGACTTCCACAACATTTTTCTCTTCAGGTCCAGCCAATATACATTGTGTACATGCGTCAAATTATTACACACACGTCAGCAAATTAAAAATCAACTGCTTACACCACGATTTCGTTCATATAAACAAATAAATATATATATATTATGCACCCTTATCTATACATATATCTCCAGATAAGCAGACCACCCTATGGGTGGGCAACACCAGAATATAGGCAATAAAGGTGACACAACGAAATGAATTATCTCCCAGAAGCAAACAAAAAACAAAAGCGAACGGAAAACACAGCTAGATAAACAAACCCAACAAGAACAATGAAAGTTAAGGAAAAAAAAAACAGAGAGATATAAAAAAGAAAAGAAAACGTAAACGTAGAAGTAGAGAGCATCCCCACTCGATCATCACTAGTTGAATATGACAGCGAAAAGCGCAATCAAGAAAAAAAAAGTGTATGATAAAGAGAGAAAGCGAGAAAAAAACATTTTTTTTTTTTTTTTTTTTCAAACACGCCTACACCCCTCCCTCTTTTGTAAAGAGAAAAGGGTATATACTCTTTGTATTAGTTCTTTCCCTAAAATAGCTTTAACTACCTTTTTCATCTTCTTCCTATTTATTTTTATTCCTTTTATTTGTCTTGTTTAAAAATATTTACCATTTTATTCTCTTATTAAGTTACGCTCCACTTAGGTTAAACTGCAGATGCAGACACACACACATAAACATAAACATATATTCTTTTTCTTATTCTGTCGTCGTTTCCATACTACTTACTGTACCGCATCCAGCCTTGAATAATAATATCATCGGATTCCTTGAGTGTATATGCCTTGCTGTTCGCATCATACTGCATAGGAATGGAACGAGAGTAATTGTGAAATGGGCCTGGCCACACGGTGTTGTCCCAGTTCTGCTCAGCCACGAGAACAGCGGCACTCAACACATCCACAATAACTGCCACGTGTCCGTACACAAATCCTCCCTTCTGCCGCGGGTATATAAGCAAATCGCCCACACGTGGAGCCGATCCACCAGCACTGATTGAGAGTCCATTCGAGTACTTCAGCAACGGTGTTTTGGCGCCATTCACCAGCTGCACAGACTGCAGTTCCCAAATATCCGCAGCGCCTTCCACAGAACTGAAGGTTGCAGGCACAGGAGAGCCACGCAGCATCCAATAACGGCGTGCATATTCCACACATTGCCATTTCAATCCCGTGTTACTCAATGCTGTGTATGCAAGGGTATTATAATCCTTCGATATATAGTCCTCATCACAGTTGCTGTACGCGAACACATCATTATGGACACCAATGATTGCACCAAATGGGGTGGAACATTTTTCTTGACCGTCGGAATCCTCATGCCACTTATCGCCATGATAATGAATTCCAGAGTAGAGAATACCAAAGACAATAAATCCCAAGAAAAGCACGACGAGAACACAGAGAGTCCATCCAATTATAACTGCAAGAACTGAGGTTGCTCGATCAACACGCTTTTCCAAGCTGTCTACGGGTTCCTCGTTGGCTTCCGTTTTCAAATCTTCACCGTTGGGTATCGTGACGTTCACTTCTTCCTCTTCAGGGAAGGGGGTTTCCTCCCTTACATCTTTCCGAGGCACTGCCCACAGTTCAGTATCTCGTTGCATCTTTTTCAGATTGGTTTTATTCCTTATAATTTAATTTAGTTTGAAACAGAATCAGGCAAAATATCTTTGCTTTTTTCTTTTTCTTTTCCGTTCAAGTTTTTCGTGTACAAGCTGTTTAATTTGAGCGTATACAGTCCAGCTATTAGCCTCACTTGAATCTCCTTGTTCTCGAATAAGTCGTTAACAAAAAAAAAAAAGATTTTCACTTATGTGAAAAGAGAGCAATTCAGCAAAAAAAAAGAAAACTAAAAAGGGAACAGGAAAAAAAGAAAAAAAAAAGATTATAAGAAAAAACAGATCATCGGCATGCTCAAAAACAAGATAATCTAAAAAAAAAAAAAGAAAATAATATATGAATCCGCACAACATGATGTTTTAGACTCATATATATATATTTAAAAATATAACATTGGATTTTCGTGCATCCACATATACACAACGGATCCATGAATGTGCCACGGAACTAAATTACTTGCATTTTTGCATATGCGTTTTAATTCAAGTTTTTTTTTTT